ACTATGGACTGAAATCTCTACAAACCGTGAGCTAAATAAACCTTTCCTCCTCTAACTTTTGTCGTCTGGTATTTTGTCTCAGCAATGAGAAAAGTAACTAAGACAGCAAGGAAAGTGGATAAGGCATACTCACTTCCTTCTTGTTTTTTTGGTACTAGGGATTGAACTCTGGTCCTTGTGCTTGCACAGCAGGCAGTGAAACCACTGAGCTAAATCTCCAGCCCAGCATACTCACTTTCAACTAGATGGTCCAGTAGTCTTTACTGGGAATGTGACTGGAGAAATGATTTAAAGGGCAAAGGGAATGTTGCAATGTCTTTGGAAAATGTGAACGGATTTAGAATCTACTCCATTTGGATTTTCATACAAATATTTCAAACTGATTATTAGAATGTGCATGTCTTGGTAGAGTGGTTACTTCACGGCAGCTTGGCCACCACCACTGGACTTATTCTATAGTCAAGGATGATGTGAGATTTAAAAAAAAACTACAGTGAATGTTTAAATAAAAAACAAATTTGTTATAGTAAAAGACTCATTGTCATCAATTCCCCTCAAAATATTCCCCCTCACTTTGAACATATTTACCTCATCATTCTTGCTACTCTCTGAAACAGGTCTGAAAGTGCTCTTTTGTGAGTATCTTTACAAGGCATAATAAAAAATACAGTGAACACTGTTGCCAAGTGCCATCCAATGGAAAGGAAGGCTCATAACAATATTACAGTGTGTCCTCATTCACTTTATTCACTGGATTGGCACTTGCAACTTCTGGCTCTTTCCCAAAGTCAACATGACCAGAGAAGGTAAATGTTTTGAGTGGATTCGGGACATCAAGGCAGCCACAACAGCACAACTCCAGAGCTACTTCAGAAAGCAGTATGAATGATGGGATAAGTGTGTCTGAAGTAAGGGGGAGTATTTTGAGATGATTCGTGGCAATATGTCTTTTAGTAGAATATTTTAAAACTTTAAATTATTAAACATTCATCATATTTTTAATTTATATCATATTTCTCATTGTGAGGAGGCAGACATGAGGCTGCTATATGGAGTTGTCCTGGGCAAAACCCCTCACCCAAGCTCCCTAACCCTGAGCCTGAATGACTCTATGTTAGCTGTACTATTGCCCTTAAACACCTGGAACACCTAGAACACCTGGAGCTGTGCCCTTCACTGCTCTGTGACTCCTTGGTTACCTGGTCTGCAAACAGGAGCAACATCTTAACAGCTGGCTGTCAAAACTGACTTCCAGTCATAGACATCCTCCAAATCCACAATCAGAAGTTGCTTATCATGCTCGCCCCTGTGGGGAGTCCAGGACACACTGTCAGATCCACTTCCTCAAGTGGCCTGGAGCAGGCTTAGAGGATCAAGGCCAGCAGTACAGCATGGGTCCCAGCAGAACAGATGGAAAACTGAGCTCAGGGGCCATGAAACACCCTAGCAGGGTACCAGTGATGACATCTCCTTCAACATCTCCAGGGAAAACTCAATGCCCACTCGCTTCTGTCCTCTACATAGAGAGCACAAACTAGGCTTGTGGACCAAAGGTGGCTGATCTGGAAGCAGGCTTTCCAGCAACTAACTGACAGAACAAGAGGGTTATTTCAGTGATGCAGCTCAGGCAGTAAATACAGGATGCTTTGACAGTGGAGAAGGACTGCAGAGAGCCATATCTCTAGTGGCTTTGGGGAGGATTGGCAGACGGTGCAAAGGGCCCAGTCCATGGCTCTGATCTTGAGAAAGCAATGAAAGGGTGGAAATCATTCAAGTTAAGTGCAAAAGGTAAAAGCCACTTTGATGTGGACTGGAAGGAAAAGGGCTAGCCTACACATGAAAAACTAAGGTGCTAAGTACCTTGGGCTTTGGACGAGTCATTTAAAATTTTAAAACCTCAATTTCCTCATTTGAAATTGAAAATTATAGCTGATCATCTCTAAGTTCTCATTCAATTTAAATACCCGTAGCCTTTGCTTTTCTTGAATGGTTCTTAATAGATAGAGGAGTGAACCTTAGGAAATATCTGCTATAAATTAGATTTCAAAGTCTTCCCCCTCTAAATCTGCTTAGAATCCAAGGATGACAATTCCATTTCTGTGCAGTCCTCTTTACCACATATATTGAGAGAATGCAGAGCATTCTCAGCAAATTGATTATGGACATCCAGGAAAAAGTGCCATTTGTTGCAGAGATTCTCAGTAAGTGTGAAGGCCCTCTGAGGAATCCACAGACTGACTTCAGCCACATCGATACAGAGTTCAGTCTCCTGAGGGAAAAAGAAAGAAGCCCCAGGTTGACAAACAGCAAGAAAAATGTTCAACATCACTGGTCATTCGAGAGATGCAGATGAAAACAACACTGAGATTCCACCTCACCCCACAAAGAATGGCTGCTATCAAGAAATCAACCAATAACAAATGCTGGCGGGATTGTGGGGAGAAAGGAACCCTTCTCCATTGTTGGTGGGAGTGCAGACTGGTGCAACCACTGTGGAAATCAGTATGGAGATACCTCAAAGAACTAGGACTAGAGGTCCCATTTGACCCAACTATTCCCCTGCTGGGTGTCTTCCCCAAAGAATTAAAAGAATCATACCACAGCAATATGTGTGCACCTATGTTTATAGCGGCACAGTTTGTAATAGCTAAGGTTTGGAAACAGTCCAAGTGCCCATCAACTGGAAACTGGATAAAGAAGATGTGGTTTTTGTATAAAATGGAGTACTACTCAGCCATAAAGAATGAGAAACTAGAGTCATTTATAGCTAAATGGATGCATATTGAGGCCATACTCTTAAGTGAAATAAATAGGACACACGTGTAAATACCTAATAGTATCTCTAGTGTGAGAAACTGAAAGTGTAAATAAGGATTAGAAGGATTAAAATGAATAATTGATAATTTGAAATAGGAAAAGGTCCAAAGGTGGAGGGGTGGCAGAGGGGAAGGGGAAAGGGAAGAAAGGAAAGGAAAAATTATGAGAAAGAAAAAAAAATGGAATCAAACTGTGTAAATAGGGAAGGGTGGAGTGGGTGAAGGGCGCACAGGTAATGGGGAAAAAAATAAGAACTAAGATACATCATGATCAGGTACGAACACCCAATGATAAATGTAAATGTATTGTATACCTAAAATGTACCAATTAATATATAAATAAAAAAATGAAAATTAAAAAAAACAGCAAGAAAAGGTAAAAGAACCTACATCACAAGATCTGGAGTTAGTTTTTTCAGAAAACAATCAGAACTGTTACCCTGGCTCCTAGTGCAGCACGAAGCCTGTGGTACCCACTTCCGCCGGGCCCTCCTGGCTCAGCAGAGGGGCCAAGGCTGAAAGCTGAAACTCCGTGGGCAAAAGTGTCCCATCAGGTCTGCATGAGGTGAGATGTTGCATGCGTCTCAAGTCCCCAAAGCAAATAACATTCAACCCACACAAACTTCACTATCTCTAATTATGAACCCTAACAGTCAAAACCAAGCATATTGGACATTTGGATGGTATCTCAGTTTCTGAAAGGAACAGAAATTGGTCTGAAAGGAACAGAAATTGGTCTGACAGGTAAGATTTAAGGGCCATCAGCTGCTGAAACAAGAAGTTGCTGAGAGCTAAGCCTAATACATTATTTTTAAAATTGTAATAACACACATATATTTTAAAAATTATATTACTAAACTGAAGATTCAACCATGAAATATCTGAATCCTGGTGAGTTTGGGGCTTTGTGTGCACCAAGTTAATTCATCTTTAAAGGAAAGTTCTCATATTGGAGAACTTACTCAAGATTTGTAAACCCTCCTGTGAAATCCATCTTACTTGTCCCGAAGTCGAAACCCCACTGCCCATGCTCCTTCCTCACTGTGGTCATCCCATTGTGATTTCCTCTGGCTTCTCCTTTTGTCCTCCAGACCCAGGGCTCACCAGGGAGGGACAGAGACGCGCTCCACCTCAAGACTGCTGAACACCAACTCCTCGACTCTCGCTTCTAATGACAGCACAACCTGTCTTTTAGATCAATACCCATCCTTCTCCCTAGACTGTCATAGCTTTAGCATGATTTTAAAAAGTAACCATGAGCATGAGGAATTCATAAAAGTACAAGAACATAAAGTAGATGAAGAACTGCTGAACACCATTTTAATCTGCTGAGGATACTGGGTGTATTAGATTGAATGAGATAAAAACAGATGTGTTTATAGGTCAAGAGCAATCAAATACTAGCCATTTCACATGATTCCAGCAATATCCAGGAATCCTTAATTCTGGACTCTCTGTCTTCCCACCTGAGTTTAACCCATTCCTGCTTTTCTTCCCCAGCTTCTCAGATTCCGCCTTCAAATTCCTCCATCTAACCAGAAGCCAGTTGAGTCCCACTGAGATTCTCCGGCCAACCCAGCATCACTCTATAGCACCTGCTGAGCACCTTTCTGAGCCAGGAACTGTGCACACTGATACTTATATAAGGGCAGATGTAAATCCATTCTGGCCTCTGGATTCATAGTCTAGTCTAGTAAGAAATGGAAACTAAAGATGTGCACAGTCAGTGTGGTGATAGAAATATTTCCAAAGTATTAAAGAGTATGAAGGAGCATCATGCTTAGAGGAAGATCTCAAAGAAGAGCTGACATTTGCATCATACCTTGCAGGAAAGCAAGGTTTCTGGAACAGGCCAATGTGGGAAAGGCCCAGGAAGGCACAACCCCAAGTTTAGCATTTGGGGACACAAAAGAAGACTGAACGTTCTGGGAAAGGGCCAGGGACTCAAAGGGCTTAGTGATAGGATGCAAGGAGGTAAGAGGAGATTGGTGAAAGATATTAAATGTGTGTGACATGTTTTTCTTTTTCATGTGAGTAAACTACATTTTTTTTCCAACCAAGAAATTGACATCATGTTTGTTTTTGAAATATAACTTTGCGAGACTGAGGAGTGCTTGTTTTCTTTCTATGACCTATGAGACTAGAAAAGAAGAACCAAGCAAAACGAGTAGGATGTGTAGGCTGTAAAAATTATCTTTATTTTTTTACTTGAAAAAGAAATAGAGATTCACTCTAAAAAATTCAACCATTATAGAAAAATACAACATAGAAATCAAATGCTTCCTGTAATCCAACCTCCTAGACCCAAATCACTATTGCTATACAGTATACTGACATAGAATCTTGCATACTTTTATTTCAATGTATAAACTAACATATTAATATAAGTTTATCTATACTAGTAAATACAGAACTACCTAATTCTTTTTAATGCTATATAATATTCCATTATGGATGTTTTATACTTTATGGAATCAATCTTTATTTGGTGGACATTTGGGATGATTTTAAATTTTTTATGATTATAAACAATGCTTGGATAAACATCTTTTTACATAAAACTTTGCAAATTTGTGCAGCCATTTCTGAGAATACATTCTTAGAAATCTTTCTAGGAATTGACGTGAGTTTTTCATTTTTTATTTTAACAGATATTGTCAAGTTGCCATCATAAAGGTTGTATCTACTTATATCCCAACAATGTATGTGGTCCCTAACTGTCCTGGGGGCCTGGCAGTTTATACACAGTCTGTCCTTATTAGAGAGACAGCAGAACCTCGGGACTCTCCACTCAGTTCTGTGAATGTCTGTAGTTCACACATTTCTCTAGTGTCTACTAAATTAGCACTAATAGTGCAAAGGTTTGCCCAAAAAAGCCCACATTTATGCCTATCCTTGGGCCATTCCAAGTATGCTTTCTTTTCTATGAGAGCTTTCAGCCTAGGAAAGCAGGTAGGGATGCAGTACAATGGAATGGGCTCCAGTAAGAGACAAATGATGTGATCAGAATTTTCATGGCAGTAGAGTTCATAATGGCACCATTCACTCTGGACAAAGTTGGGAGACAAAACAAAGATGGACTTACAGCTCTTCTCAATGCAGCTAAAGATATTTTCAGTAATGCTCTTGCCAGGCTCAAAGTTTCTCTCACAAAGACAAACCAAGACAGAGCCATCTTCTTTCTCTAGATTGGGGATCAATTTGTTCTTCACCCAGAAAGAATCATGTTCACTATACGAAACAAATGCATGGAACTGAACATTTCTCCTAGGCTGTTCTTGTGCTGCCTTCCTAACCCAGTGCCATGTCTGCATCCACCGACCCAGCATCCTGAGATACCAGAGCACATCACAGTGGAGGAAACAGATAGCTGCAGCCATCACCAGAATCAGCAAGAGGACAACAACAGTGATGATCAACAGAGCTGTGTTGCAAGACAACTCAGAGAGATAAATATCTTTTAACAGAGTCCTCTGCAGATTCAAAGGGTGTTCACAGATGTATGAATCTGGCCATCCAACCATCATGCCCTTTGAATACTTTCCAAGCTGGATGAAATCTCTTAATTCACAAGTACACTGGAATGGATTTCTTCCTGCATTTAGTGTCTTAACTTCCTGGCAGCTCTGAAAAAAATCCAGAGATGGGGTGAGAATTAAGTTCATTTCAATGTTCAGAACTGAGAGTCTTCTGAGATGACTGCACCCAGGGAGATCAGTTAGAAAATTAAACGCAATATTTAGCTCTCATAAAGACTTCAAATGAATAATCTCTTTAGGGATACTTTGAATTTTGTTATAGCTCAGGTCAAGAATTTGAATACTTCTGGGCAAGCACCTGAAAACAGAATCAGCGAATTTATTGGATGACAAGTTCATGCTGATCAAAGTTTCTGGCCACAAGCAATTTTCATCATTTATTTGCTGCAATAGATTTTGGCTTAGATCCAAGTACATCAAGGCTGTGTGGTTAGCAAAACAGCTCACTAAGGAAAGCGACTCCAGCTTATTGCCCTTCAGAATCAGAGTGTTCAAATAAGGCAACTGGATAGGATTTTTAAATACTTCATCTGTTAAGATATTATTGGCAAAATTTAAATACCGGAAATTTAGGAGAATTAGGGAAAAGCATATGCGGCATTTTTGCATCTGATATTGTCAGGTTTTCTATATCCATTTTTGTAAAAAGCAAGTAGATTCTATCCTGTGGAACAGAAAAAACTCTGAAATATACATGCTCCAGACTTATAGTTCTCATTACGGTATTTGAGTAGTCGAATGAATTGTGGTCAAGGTAAACCTGGCCTCCAAAAGTCATATCCCGGATCTGGAAGTATTCCACTGATGTATGCCAAACAAATTGGAAGATGAGGAGAAGGTCATCCCAGAGTAAATCAACTTTATTAAGTAACAAAGTAGATGTCTTAGCATTCTCTAAAATAAGACTCTGTTCATTGTCATAATTTAGAAACTGGCTTTTGCCATCTATATTTGTCAATTGCAATACTCTTGAAGTCTTGAGTCCATCATGCAAAAGAACCCAGAAATGTATGTTCATTGGTAAAATGATGTGAAGTTTTGTTGTATTTAAGAGAGGTAGGCTGCCTTCCTCATAGTGAGAAAGACTTCTCAGCCCAAAGAAGACAGTACTGAGATGCAAATGAGCAATTTTCTGGAAATCTGATTTTTATATTTTTGCTCCACTCAAACCTAGGGTTTCCAGCTGTGTCATGTTACCAATCTCCTCACAAATAGGCACAGTTTCAAAGTCATTAAAGAAAAGATCTAAATGTCTGAGAGCTGCCAGCGAGTACCCAGTTACCGCCTTCAATCTATTGTAAGACAAATCTAAATATCTTAACTCTTGGTTGAATTCAAAGATCTTGATATCCAGCTGTTGGATTCTGTTATGGCACATAATTAAAGCTCTCAGTTTGAAGACAGAATGAAAATCTGAACTCTGGAGTTGAAATAAGAGGTTGTAGGATAAATCCAGTGTGGTTGTGGCTGGGGCCAAGCCTGTGTGAACCTTTCTTAGAAACATGTTGGAGTAGTTGGTAGTCAATTCCTTTTCTTCTGGAAGCTTTGGAGCCCAGCCTTCGACTGATATAACAATATTACAAAATATATAAATGTTCCTGATAAGTCTTATTGTATTTCCAAGTATCTAATCACTGTTTTCCTCATTTGAATCATGAAGATGAGTCCAGACCCCTAGAAATACAGCATATAATTTTGGTTTTTAAAATTTGTTTGTTGTATAAATGTTTTAAATGCCAATAAATATCTGCCTATATTCACAAGAGGTTACAATAAGGTCTCACCCTGTATATTGAATCTTGGACTTGATCTCAGAGCCATGGCTGATAGATCTCTAAGTCATTCATTGTATGCACCATGGTTCCAGCACTGAGGCAAATCAGGGTTCTCAGAGGGCCCAGTAGGTGGCACCCTCACACCCAAGCTTGCTTAGGAACTACTTTTGTTAGGTCAGAATCCATACCCTCCTCCACATTCCCTTTAGATAGCCTTAAGGTTTTAAGAAGATTGAAAGTAATGTTTCATCAGCAAATATTGAGGGTCCTTGAATTACTATCATGGAGTTGCTGGGTATAGAGAGTCCCTGTATCTGAGTTTCACCAACACTTACCCATGGAAGGTCCACATCATAGGAACAGAATGATTCCTGTCCTCAGGCCTCAAGTTGGTGACCAAAGAAATCTAGGTCACTGCCAAGTAATAGCAATATCACAGTGATAAAGAACAGTTTCCATTTCTTGGGGACTTTCAACGTGCCAAGATATATATTAAATGCTTCCAAAAAATAAATGCTTCATATGTACTGTCTCATTTATCACAATACACTGTGGGGAGGGAAGTACTGTTACACCTATTTTGCAGATAAGGAAACTCATAGATGAAAAATTATGAGGACTGAGAGAAGAGGCAGTCTCCAAGTTATTTGACAGAACAGAGAGAGTTGGAGAACTAAGATTCTCACCATAGTCATTACTCAGGATGTTTATTAAGAACCTATTCTGCTAGAAACTTTTCCAAGCTGTGGAGAGGGAGAATTTTTTTTTTTTGGTACCAAGGATTGAACTCAGGTCCTTGCACTTGCCAGGCAGACAGCAGAACCACTGAGCTAAATCCCCGGCCCTCCAAGCTGTGGAGTAATAGCAGTGAACAAAGGAATTTCTCTTCCTACACAGTTTACATTCTAATGAATAAGAGATAATGTAAACAAAATAATGTATGTATATGTTGGTTGGTGATAAAGATCTCGTTCATCTTAAGTCTTTCCACCTCTCTTTGTCTCCCTCCTTCATTCCTCCTTCCATCCAGATCCCCCTCCCATTTACAAAAGATCTTTCTCCCTCTTTCCTATTATCTGTCTTTTATTTTGCTCTTTAGATTATTTATACTTTGGTATTTTCATGTAAGAGAAACCATGCACTATTTAAGCTTGCCTGATTTATTTCACTTAACATTATGGTTTCAAGGTGCATCCATTTCCTTACAAATGTCTACATTTTCTTTCAGTTACCTTAGAATTGTACACTAAATTTCAGAAGCTTTAACGTTGTGCCACTAAATGTAGAAAATAGCTCTCCACGAATCACTGTCTCTTATGAATGGCCACTTAGATATGAGCTTGTGTTCATTTGGTTGACCACAAATCTACTGCCCATCCCACAAGAGCTGTCAGACTTGTTCACTTCTGCACCCCCTGCTCAGTCTCTGTAAATACTTGTTCAATATGTGTATGAATGAATGACTGATATCATTTCATCCCCTAGCCCAAGATGGCACATAAGGTGGTCTCAAAACTATGTGTTAAATGAATAAATTAACATTGCAGATTTCTGGTGGGGTATAGTGCATGAGGGTTAAAGAGTAAGTTTGGTACTAGGGATCCATAGCTTTGTGTTCCAGTCCAGTGTTTACCACTCATTGGCTATGAAACTTGGACCATTTATTTAATCTCTGAAAGCTTTAGTTTTATCTGGAATGGGGCTTATGCAGAAACACAAAATAGATGATGCATACAATTACTTAGCCTGATCCCCAGTTTATCACACTTAAAGGTAGCAGTTATCAGGCCCAAAACAAAGGTAAGGCAAGTAAGGCACAAATTTTAAGAATGTAACAAAAAATTCAGTAATCAAGATAATGTTTGAATGAAATATTTAAAAAATCAAAAGCAATGTGAAAATCCGTGTTGAACAAATATAAAAATTTTTTTGCACTTTGGGAGCCTGAGGCAGGAAGATTGCAAATTTCAGCCCAGTTTGAGCAATGAGTGACTAGTGAAACCCCATTTCAAAATAAAATAAATAAGGAAAGGGTGAGGATGTGGTTCTGTGCAAAGACTCTGGGTTTAATCCCAGTACTACAAAAAAAAAAAAGTATTCATAGATAGGATCAGCATTATAGGATTTGTCTTTAGCTTCAGGCTCCAGTATGGCTTGGCAGGTCTCCTTCTCCCCACTTAGTTATAATTGCTATGTTGATAAAGGTGATTTTAGTGCTATCACCTCACAGAGCACTCTTTACTTTAATCTAGGTATGGGATCCATGGCCCTTGAAAAAGGCAGAAGAATTTAGCCCAGTTGCTTTCTGTGGAATCCCCCAGGTTAAGATATCAGAGTTTCCATTTCTTACTCATTTCTTCCCCTGTCCGATGCCACAGCTGTTTCTGGAACTGGAATGAGAGAGGAACTAACTCTTTTTGAACTTCTCTTAAGAAAGTGAAAATAAGGTCTTCTCTCTCAGGCAATGCTGTGTATGCTGGCATTTTCTAAATAGTAGGATACAAACTTTTGATGAAAGATGCATACAGGATACTACTATTATTTTACTACTATGCTGAAAGTAGATGAAAAAGCAAAAAATGACTTTCCTGAATAGCTTGTAGTTTAAAACTCCAAGTCCAAAGACACCATGAAGTAGCAATTGGTGATTTGTCAAAGAATGCATATTTCATTACCTAGGAATTTCTCTTGTCCCAATACTGCCAAGAGATAGAGGAAGGCTTAAAAAACTCATTAAATGTTGAATAATCTTTGTAACAGAACGATAAGAACACCTACTTTGTGTATTTCCTGTATGTCCAACACAGAGCTAAGTATTTTCTATACATCATTTATTCAATCCTTTCAGCAACCCAACAAAATGGTGGCTTTTCCTGTTTTACAAATAAAGGAGCTAAAACCCAGAGGTTTACTAACTTGCCCAAGTAAATAAGCATTGGAGAAGGAATTTAAGGTCAGAATCACCCAGTCCCTTCTGATGGTAGTTAAACCCAAATTGGAGGCAGATGAGACCCTGAAATATGGCTCAGGATACGATGGCCGAGGCTGTTTCCTTTGACCCAGCCAGCTGCCACAGAGGCCTCTTCCTTCCTCCTGGCCCCATGTCCTCTCTCCGAGGCAGCGTGCAGCTGCTGTGGAACACTGCTTGGTGCCATAAAGCTCAAGAGACATCGCCTATGTGTAAATATATTGTCCAGAGAGTTCTAAGTTCACAGGAACTGAAGCAAAACTCAAGATGCACAAATCCCTAATTAATAGCTCAGCTTAGGCGGTCCGTGAGAAAGCTCTTCTAGGACTCAATGCCTACATGCTGGGAACCGAATTCAACAGCAGCCACACTTCAACAACTTCTGAAGGAAACCGTATTGTACAAGATCCATCCACCCACCCCAACTTTCAAACACATACCACAAATGCAGAACTGTTGGAGTGGGCAACAGATATGCTTCAGCCACAAATCTCATCCAGCAGATGTTATTAACATGGACCACTGGCAAATAAAAGCTAGGCAAAACTTGTTATCATGCCAGGGACCATCCGTGCTGGATTGGCTGATGAGGTTAACTTGCAGTCAGCGAAAGAAAACCCAGACCCGCAAGCACCTGCAGGATAATTGCTGAGATCAATAGCACCATGGGCCATCTATATAAACTCAAATTATCTCCTTTTAAGACAAGACTATGCAACCTTTATTTCTTTTTCACAAATACTGCAACAAACAGAGCGAACAGTTCTTATTATGGGGCTGGCACCTTCTTGGAGAGCTGCAGGTGTGTGGATGTTCACTGACAAGGTCAGAATTGGCTGCAGGAGTGGATTGGATAGCATTTCTATGATGTTAAATCCCCTTCCCCCTCTACTGCATTCAAGTGGTATTGCATGTTACACTAATTCATTATCATCTAAGTGCATTTTTTATTGTGGTAGATAAACATCACAGAAACTTTCCATTTTAACCATTTATAAGTGTACAACTCAGTGGAATTAACTGCATTCACATGGTTGTGCAACCATCACCACCATGTATCTCCAGAGTTTTTCATCATCTCAAACTGCAATTCTGCCCCCTAATCATAACTGCCCATTTCTTCCTCTTTTCAGCTGCTGGCAACTACCACTCTACTTGTCTCTGTGAATTTCAATACTCTAGATACTGAATGTAAGTGAAATCTTACAATATGTGTTATTTTGTGACTGACTTGTTCCACTTAGCATGTTTCCAAAGTTCTCCCATGTAAAGCATCTGTCAGAATACCCGTCCTTTTAAGGCTGAATAATATTCCAATGTATGCATATACTACACCTTGCTTATCCATTCATCCATCAGTGGATATTTATATTGTTTTCATCTTTTGTGAATAATATTGCTATAAACCTGGGTGAACTAATATCTCTTCAAATTGCTGCTTTCAATTCTTTTGAGTATATGAGGTGTAACAAAAATATGGTGAATGTTTAAATTTTTTGAAACTATTACAGCAAAAGACACATTGCCATTAATCACCTTCAAAATACTCTCTCTCGCCTTGAACATACTTGTTCCATCATTCTTGCCACTTTCTGAATCAATTCTGGAAGTTCTCTTTCGTGAGTGTCTCTACTTGTGCTGTCATGGCTGCGTTGATGTCCTGAATCAATTCAAAACACTTACCTTTCATGGTAATTTTGACTTTGGGAATGAGCCAGAAGTTACACAGCACTACATCCAGTGAACAGGTGGATGAGGACATACCGTAATATTTTTATTTGACAGAAAGTGCTATAAATATTTGATCAATGAGGGGTGATCAAGGAATACGGTGAATGTTTAAATAAAAATATTTACAGCAGGACCGGGAATTTAGCTCAGTGGTGCTGCCACCTGTCTTGCAAGCGCAAGGTCCCAAGTTCGATCCCTGGTACCAAAAAATATATATATTTACAGCAAAAGACACACTGCCATTAATCCCCCTCAAAATACCGTCCCCTCACTTGGAACACACTTAGCGCATCATTCTTGGCAATGTGTTTTTTACTGTAATAAGTTGTTTTTTTTTTAATTTAAACATGCACCACATTTTTTTTTTTTTTTTTTTGGTACCTGGGATCGAACTCGGGTCCTTGCGCTTGCGCAGCAGGCAGCGAAACCACTGAGCTAAAGCCCCGGCCCCACCACATGTATTTTTTATATGTAGAATAGCATTAATGAATCACATGGTAATTCAATGTTTAACATTTTGAAAAATTTCCATCCCGCTTTCCCACAGTATTTTAGAGCTCTCTGATGATCCCTTACTTTAAGGTCCAGTTCAGTCATCCTTCCTGCTGCACAGTGGGTGGCCAAGCAGTGACAAGAAGGAGTAAGAACCATGGCTCCATAATTTCAGAAATTGACTGGAAGAGGTTGGAAGGGGTTACCTAGAGGCCTTGTATGAAGTGAAGGGATAGAACCAACATATTTTTTTATGTATGTTGTAGAGTACAGATTTTTGTTTTTAAACATACTTTGATGTCTTACACATAGGATTTCAGGGAAATGGCTGGAGATCACCAATGAAGATAAAAATTTCCAAACGGATT